GACCAGATATCCTAAATTAATCGAGTCTCATAGGCTATAAACAGGTTGGTGGAATGGGCAAAAAGTGGTGTATTAAATTTAATCCAGAGAAATGTGAAGTAATTCCTTTCGGTAGGAAGCAAACAGGAGGACAGTATAAAAGGTTCAATTCTGAAGGGAGTGCAGAAGCAGAGGGACCTCGGTGCTTCTGTGCATTAATCATTGCAGGTTGCAGGGCAGGTTGAGGGACAAATTAGTAAACCACACAGTATTGTGGGCTTTATTGATTAATGAAGTTAAAACCGTATAAAATGCTGGTTCATCTATTATTGGAATATTCTGGCTACTTCCAGGCACATATATTAAGAAGGATGTGAAAGCGTTACAGAAGTTGCAGAAAAGCTTCACAAGAATGGTTCCAGGGATAAGGAACTTCAGGTACAAAGCGAGGCAGGAGACGTTTGGACTGTTCTTGGAGAAGAGAAGGTTAAAAGGATATTTGAGAAAGCAATTCAAAAACGTGAGGGATCTGAACAGAGTAGATGGTAGAAAGATTAAGAACTCTGAGTACACAGATTTAAGGTAATTTGCAGAAAAAAGCTATGATGTCATCAGGAAAAAACATTTACATTCAGCAAGTAGCTAAGGTGTGGAATGTACTGCCTGCGAGTGTAGTGGAGGCTTGGCCAATTAAGTGGATTGAATCATTATCTGAAAGAGGAACACATTGCAGGACCATAGAGACAAGGCACTTGTTGAACTGCTTCTACAGAAGGTCATAATACCCAAAAGGCCATCTTCAATAGCATTTTAATGGTTCAAGAAAAGTGCCAGGTAAAATAGAATCATGTCCCAGGCAATGTTCTATTAGTGCAGGCAGAAAATATGTCAAGGCCTAAGTTGCAGCCCAGCGCTGAGGGTCAAAAGGACAAAATAGTAACCAGAAAGAGATAAATAAAGAAATAGTGGTAGGTGAACCCAAGATAAGATCTTAATTGAATAACTCATTGTTCACAGTTAAGATGACAAGCTCCATGGATGGCAGAGCTTTGAGTTCTTGGAAAAGACAGAGAGACGGAGTAAGAGGTATTGGCCCAAGACTTAATTTCAAATGGTACTGATGCAATAGGTCCATATTGGTCTACCCACTGGAATCTAATAGGGACAAAGGTGAACAAAGTTCAGATTTAAATGTTCACAGTGACTTGGATAAGTCAAGAACAATAAGGGTCACAGTGTAGACAGAGACAGTGCAGGCTTGTAAGAGGATTGACTATAAGAAAATCATTGTTAATTGTATCAGATCTGAGATTGTAAGATGTGTTTCATGGCTTTTCCCAATGTCAAAGCAGTGATACAACTCAGATGAACTTCCCAGATTTATTCACAGTGAAGAAAAGGAGCTAAGCTGAAAGTAAAAAAATGCTGGAAATCGCAGTGGTCAGGCAGCATCCATGGAAAGACAGCAAGCTAATGTTTTGAGTCTATATGAGTCTTCATCAGCTCTGATGAAGAGTCATCTAGACTCCCAACGTTAGCTTACTGTCTCTCCATGGATGCTGCCTGAGACCTCCTGTGATTTCCAGCCATTTTTTTGTTTTCAGTACAGATTTGCTCCCAGAAGGAACCAAACCTCTAGGAGGCAGTGCTCAGTGTGAATTGGAACGGAGGAAATACTGAGCAGAACTGTCAGAGGAAGAATGGAGTGCGATAAAGCAAGAGATGGTTGAGTCTTTGATATGAAATTAAGTAATTGAAGATATCAAATTGGCCTTGTTTTAAGTCTATACATTTTTCTTTAAAAAATCATGGGATGTGGGTGTCGCTGGTTAGGCCAGTATTCGTTGTCCATTCCTAGATTCCCTTGAGAAGGTGATGGTGACCTACCATCTTGGACTGCTGCACTCCATGTGCTGTATGTAGACCCCCAATGCCATTAAGGAAGTAATTCCAAGACTTTGATCCAGCCAGGGTTTTGTAGAGGTGGAGGATTGAATGGATCAAAATCGGGTGCTAATTTTATCACCCTCTCACGGACATGAAGGGAACAAAAGGTTGTACAGTGAAGAATCTACTTTATGACTCTATCCTGCAGCGCAGCACCTACAAATCAACCCGCATGCGACATTAATCAACAACGAAGGCCACTTCTGAATGTGAATGCTTGACAAAAATTAGGTCCTTTACTGAAACTACCTCTTGTTCTCCCCTTTCTAGTTCAGATTTGAAGCTATTTATTTTCTTGGTGTGGGAATTTAAGAAAGCCTTGCAGTCTGAAAATTTACAAGATCGATTACTGGCCAACGTGTCTGATTTAAGCTGGTGGCATTGCGACATAACATAGTACTGGCCTATGAATCAGTAAGAGACTGGGCGAACATGAAAATTATTGTACTCCAAACTCCTCTTAAGAACAATACAAAGGCCGCATTGATTTTTATAGATGAAGATCATAATACTAAACCGGTGAATTTCGGAACAGTTTAGTGTGGACGTGCATGATCATAGGGGTAAGTCTTCAAGCAACCCATTTTCCCTCCACAATTCCATCGATTCCTTACTGTGTCCACGCCACAGCAGACTTTATTGCCTTGAGGGTGCCTCTTTACATTTGTCAGTATTTTCCAGACGACACATTCTCTGTACAAACAACATTCATTCTCCTGGCAGAGAGACTTGAACCATCGATCCAGCTCATTTATCCCTTCCTGAAAAGCGTCACTGCCGAGGAAGTACATGTCCGTGGAGATCTACACTCGGTTTCCCTTACAGACTGGACTAAGTTCTCACAGTCTGACCCAGCTATGATATTAGAGTGGTCTTTAACGTTCAGGAGAGTAGGGAATGCGTTCGCTCCATAATGGGAGGAAAGCTATCTTTTACAAACCTTTACCAGTTGACCCCACATACCCCCAGCGTGTACAATCTAATTCCTGATTCTAATCACCTGAAGAAGGAGCAGTGCTTAGAAAACTCGCGATTCCAAATAAACCTGTTGGACTATAACCTGGCGTGATGTGACTTCTGACTTTGTCTACCGCAGTCCGACACCAGCATCTCCACATCAATCTAGTTCCCAACTAATTCTAAACATGCAGATTCTAGCCCTACCTTTACAAGCCTAAAGATACTAGCTTTTCATAGGCAGTTCTCCAGGAAACAGTCGCAAGCTCAAAACCTCAGTTCTGTCGCTAATTCTCCATTTAGCTATACTAAATCCAGCGCTCTTGTTTAAAACTCTGTCGTTTATACCACAGTGTACAATTTTCGCGGAGCCAAGTTTCTTGCAATCTCTCGCTGTTTACAGCCATCCTACAATCTGGTCTCCATATACATCCCCTATTCTCTTACACTGCGCGGAGTCAAGTTTCTCCTCTAGAGTTATTTACAGCACCTCGAGTACATCAGTGCCACTGGATAAATATGCATCAAATCAACCAAGGTTTAATTGAGTCCATTATCCGTTGGCTGTCCCGGTCAAGATTCTGTAGTCATATTCCCGGAATCGTCAAGTTACTGAATCCAGAGTCCACTTTCATCCGGTAAGGTTACAGCTTGGGAATAGGAGCTGTTCACTGACAAGGGGAGGAGGGATGTGTAAGGGGTTACCGGAGAAGACCGGGTGGTTTAGAACGGGGTGGGGGTGGGCATCAGCTGGTTTGCCCCTGTGGAGAGTCAGCGCAGAGACTGCGGGACGAATGGCCGCTTTCCGCGCTGTGAACCATGTACTGATTCTGTGAAGCCAGGAATTACAGGCGGGTGCAGTCTTTCTCTCTCTCCCCCCAGTGCCCTGTGGATTGGTCACAAGTTATCTAACACACTTCCCGGTAAAAGTCGAGGACTCTACAGGACAATAGCAGCCCTGTGCAAACTCCTCTTTTCCACCTCTGTGTGCGGTCGTTCCGTGCATTATTAATATAAGACTTTCCAAGGTTACCTCCTCCACTCACTCTGCCACCGACCCCCCATTTCCCACCCCCACCCCTCCACTGCCCAAGCCCCATCCCATTCGCCGCTTTCCTCTACCAACTGCATTGCTTTATCCTTTTCGTGTGTGAAGCCCAGCCCCGGTCCAACTGCGAGGACATGATTGGCTGCCCGGGAGATCCCAGAGGGAGCGGACGCTCTCCATCTCTCCACCCAGGCTTAGAGCGGAGCCGGCGGCGAGGGCAGGGACACGGGCCGCGGTTCCTCCTCCCTCCCGGAGACCCGATGGTGAAAGCAGCCGGCTGGAAAACCCCGAGCCGAGCAATCGCAAGGGAAGCACGGAGAGACGGTTGCAGCTGCAGCCTGGGCGAGCTCCCCTGAGGGACTGGTGCTGAACGGACAGCTCCAAGTGATTGAAGGTAGTTGAACTTTGAAGCACGCTGGGAGAGTGGTGCGTTTAATAAAGATATACATTTGACACCGTCTCCACATATTGTATGAAATGCCATGTTCACTCAGATCTACTAGGAAAAGTATCTAACCATAGATATGAGTGATCGGACGGTGTGGAGGATGGTGTATGTGTGTGTGTGTGTGTTTGTGCAGCGGGGGTTTTATTAGTCACCTAACATACTGGAAATTCATGCCAAAGGCTGGAGTGTCTATTGTGTAACTACTGGTATCTGAAAGAACACTTTGCTGGGGTCATTGATACGTATTTTCCAGTCCCATGTGTTAGTCCATCTCGTGCTACGCCCCTGAATGGTAGCTAAAATGAAAACAGTCACATGAAACAGACAACTAACACGGGCTGTATTTTCTTTTGTTTTTGTTGCTATAATCTGACTCTAATCCATGCGAGGCAACACATGGATGGTCTTTAAATGAGACGTCCACACCCCCCTCCCCCTCCGCCCCTACTCTATTTGAGGTAATAGATTCTGCTGGGTCAGCGCCTGGGCTGGGACATACTGATCACAGTCTCCATTGCGTTTGTTCAGCTCAGATTTGTTCAGTGCTGATCGGACCTAGAGAGAGAGAGAGGGCGGCCTGTCAAGCGTCCGGTCGGGATTTGGGATCTTTCACCTGTGGCCATGGACAGTGGGAGGTTGGAAGGATTCAGCAAGCTGTGCTTGCTCCTTGTGTCGAGCCTGACCTGGCGCCCGAGGTGAGTTAGCAGTGAGTTGGCCGGTGGCTTGTTAAGTGTCGCGGAGCTGAGGGGTTGGGGGTGAGGGAGGGGTTGGGGGTGGGTGGGGGGGCGCGGAAGGAAAGCAGTTGGTAGCCATCAGCTGAAGTGAAACGGAAAGAGAAATGGCTGGAAAAATGCTCAGCAGGTCTGGCAGCATCTGTCCATTGACCCTTCCTCAGAACACTAGGTGAAACGGTGCGGCCTGAAAGCAGCAAGCATGCACATTCTGCATCTGGCTGGTTCAGGGGCATTTCCACCTTCTGTACCTGCGCTCCAATGAACCAACAGTGACGCCTGCCTAGGATTATTACCACTGGACTACCCAGCTCAGCTGTTGTTTAGCTTCTTTCAACTAAAAACCTTCCAAGTAAAACTCACCCTCTGTGATATATATCAGCTTGCCAAGGGGTGGTATCAACGAGATGTTTTTGCTTACGCTACAGTTAGTGTTAAATGTAGTTTCCGATTTTCTTTCTCCCCAAAATACTTCAATTACTGTGATACTTATTAATACCATGCACGTTAAAAAGGCGCTACACGATTGTGAAGCCCTTTTAGTCTAACAACAGGAATGCACTCAGCCTCCGACCCTCCAGGGAAAACAGCCCCAGCTTATTCAGCCTCTCCCTATAGCTGAGACCCTCCATCCCTGACAACATCCTTGTAATTCTTTTCTGAACCCCTTTCAAGTTTCACAATATCCTTCCTATAGCAGGGAGACCAGAATTGCACACAGTATTCCAAAAGTGGCCTAACCAATGTCCATTGCAGCCACAACACGACCTCCCAACTCCTACACTCAATGCACTGACCAATAAAGGCAAGCATACCAAATGCCGCCTTCACTATCCTATCCACATAGGACTCCACTTTCAAGCAACTGTATGAAACCGTACTCTAAGGTCTCTTTATTCAGCAATATTCCCTAGTACCTTGCCATTAAGTGTATAACTCCAGCCCTGATCTGCCTTTCCAAAATGCAGCATTTCACATTTATCTAAATTAAATTCTATCTGCCACACCGGGCGCATTGGCCCATCTGATCAAGATCCCGTGGTACTCCGACGTAACCTTCTTTGCTGTCCACTACACCTCCAATTTTGGTGTCATCTGCAAACTTACTAACCATACCTCCTAAATTCACATCCAAATCATTTATATAAAAGCCAGGAAACGGGAGTAAACCCAGGAGGTGGTTATTGGAATGCTGGCCGAGTTAACACTTTCTGCTCTGAAGCGAGAATGTGCGTTGATTCTACAAATGACAGGGAGGTGAGTGCATTTCCCATGAAGTTAGTTCAGCAGCATTTCTGCCTGAGTCCGCGCTTTGGGAGTGAGTCATACCGTTGTGTATCGATCCGTCATGGGCACGTGTATCCTGCTAAAATGCTTTATCAAGTTAATAGGAAATATAAAGGATGGAAACCTGTTTTAACCTTTTCATGCAAAATGAAACCTGCTCCCCAGTTTGTCCCAGAGCGTCTCTCCAGCGCTGAAGCAACATACCAATGATAATATCACCATCTTTACCCGAATCCTGGATGGTCTGCTGGATGGGTACGATAACAGACTGCGGCCAGGACTAGGAGGTGAGTTCATGGGCCTGCCGTTTTCCCCAGGGCTGGTCGTTCTCAAATCGGACGGTCTAACTGTTCCTCTACCTCTCCAAGTACATGGGCCACTCATATTAGAACAAATGTTCATGAAAAGACTAGAGCAGAAACAAACATCACTGTCTTGGAAGTCAATGTGAGGAGGAGGGAGATGAGGAGCTCTGATCCATTCGATCAGCTGATCAGAATTGAAGGGCCGAGAAGGGCGGTGGAAATAGAATCCTTCCTAAGGGTTAATAGATACTTGAAAATACCTTTCTGGGCCTTGGAGTGGAAAAAGCAAGAGCGAGGGACACATTGGAAAACTGTCCCAAACAACTAGACCGGGAAATTGAGCGGCCTGCTTTCTGAAGGGTCAACATTCATTTGGAAGAATGAGAGGCCATCTTAGTAAAAAATACAAGTTTCTTAGAGGATTGGACAAGGTAGGTGCAGAAAGCTTGTTTCCACTTTTTTGGTGGGTCTCCAACCAGAGGATATAATCTCGGGATAAGGGGTCGCACGTTTAAGGCAGAGATGAGGAGGATTTTGTTTCAATCCTTGAGGGCAGTGAATCTGTGGAATTCTCCACCACAGAGGTCTGTTGAGGCCGAGTCATCATATTCAAGGCTGAGATAGATAAATTTTCAATCAGTAAAGTTTGTGAGGAAAAAGGCTTGGAAAGTGGAGTTGAGGGTTAGTAGATCGACCATGAACTAACTGAGTGGGGAGGTAGACTCGATGGGCTGAATTCTGCTCCTATCTCTTATGGTCATGAGCTAATTGTTTCTTTCTGTAAGAAAGGAGACACCAGTGTGCTTAGAAAAAAAATGTTCCTAAAATACTGGTGAGCATCTTATGGTATTAGAACGCTAACGAATAGAACGAGTTGGCTGATTATTTCCTTGATTTTTTTTTGCAGAAAGGATCACGGAGGTTAAAACGGATATCTACGTTACGAGTTTTGGCCCAGTCTCAGACACTGAAATGGTAAGTGATCAGAAATGTTTCGACAAAGCTGGATACACATTTCCAACAGTCACCATATCAACCAGTGCCTGCTGCTCCCTGACAGGAGTATACGATAGACGTATTCTTCCGCCAAAGCTGGAAGGACGAGCGCCTGAAGTTTAAGGGACCGATGCAGCTACTGTCTCTCAATAACATGCTAGCGAGTAAGATCTGGACGCCAGACACCTTCTTTCACAATGGCAAGAAATCGGTAGCTCACAACATGACCACCCCTAACAAGTTACTCCGGCTGGTGGAGGATGGTACTTTGCTCTATACCATGAGGTAATTACTCAGTATTTACAGTACTGGTGGGTTTCTGTTCTCAAATGATCTATATAAATCATTGTCTTAGCAACGTACACCAGGAATGAAATTTCTTTTCTTTCTGATTATATTAATTTGTTTTTATAGTAGTATTTAAATGAAAATTTTACAATAATACAGTTAAAGATCATCTTAAATGTATCATCTTTTATTAAATTGGATAAATGTAATGAATTTCAGAAACCCTGATTAGGTCTGGTAAGAACTACTATTTGATAGGTTGTGTTATCACTATTTATTTACACATAGACAAAATAATTTAAATACGGTTTAATAAGGTTTGTTTCCATCCATGTTTCATGTTTTGACCTGTTTTTCTCTAAATTCTGCATTATTAACTAGAGTAACTAAGATTAATTGTGGGAAGTAAAATTCGATTTAGCCCTTTGTTATATAATTAGCTCACGTATTTGCAACTAATGCTTTCAGATTATATTTTGAAATAGTGGTTTAAAATGCTACCCAAGACTGCAAATTAGATTTCAAGTGCTCCTGGGGCACTGCAATTAACGAAAGAATGTTAACACTCGCTGTGTCAATACAAAGGCAGAGATGTTTGCCTTTCCGGGGTTTATTCTCAGACCCTGCTTTTCCTTTGTCTCTGAACGAACAGATGCCGTACCCACTAGTTACCACCAGATGTCTTCCTTGCACATTTTTAATAGACGCTCCTTGACACAATATGTTTCAAATTTCACCCAACAAACATCTCTGGAATACTTTTAATGGGGGCAGTTTAAAGGAGTGTTGTCAACACAAATACTATTCCTTAATAATCATTGTCCTGTGCTGAGACAGTGCTGCATGGTCAGAGGTGCCTCTTTCAGATATGGTGTTAACCAAGACCCTACTTGTCCTCAAAGGTGTGGAGATGCCGGTGTTGGACTGGGGTGGACAAGGTCAGAAATCACACCAGGTTTATTTGAAAACTCAAGCTTTCGGACCCTCAGTCCTTCTTCAGGTGTTAGTGAGAGAGGTAGTATCAGACACAGAATTTATAAGTAAAAGATCAAAGGTACATGTCATTGATGAGGATGTATTAAGCAAACTTAAGATGCTGTTAAATCTTTAATCAGTTAGAAGGTTTTAATTGATTAATATGTATATGTATATGTAAAGTTGAAAGGAATTCAGGGATTTACATATACATATTAATCAATTAAAACCTTCTAACTGATTAAAGATTCAACAGCATCTTAGGTTTGTTTAGTACATCCTCATCAACAGTGTAAACCTTTGATCTTTTACTTATAAATTCTGTGTCTGATACTACCTCTCTCACTAACACCTGAAGAAGGACTGAGGGTCCGAAAGCTTGGGTTTTCAAATAAACCTGTTGGACTATAACCTAGTGTCGTGTGATTTCAGACCCTGTCCTCAATGGTGGAGATGGAAGATTCCATGGTTAGCCCCAAATCAGTATCATAAATACAGCTTATTTGGTTATTATTACATACCTGTCTGTGGGAGCTTATTGTGTACAATTTAACAGGGTCATTTCTCTCCTTACGATATTGATTACACTTGTCTGTGAAAGTTTTCTGTGTATGAATTAGCGGAGTTATTTCTTCCTTTCCAACATTGACCATGCTGCTTCTCACACAGTTGTCTGTGGCAGCCTATTGTGTGCAAATTAACTATATTGTTTCATACTTTACAAAAGTGACTATGCTGCAAAAGTCTCGATTGGCAAAAAAGGTGTTTGGGAGATAATGTGAGAGACATTATGTCTCAAACAGAAACCAGGCTTGTTCATCACCTTGAACAGTAGCTGTAGCTTTGTTTGACTGCTTGTAGTATCTGGTTTATATATCCTGGGCATGAATTTAACTCCTGGGTCAAAGAGGGAGTTCTCCCAAATGTCCAGTTTTCTATAGGTGGACTGAAAGAAAGTCCATAGTAAACCAGAGTTATAGGATCAAAGACTATAAATTTTTTTTTTCTTTCAGATGGTTAATGCCATTCCTCAAACAGTATGGGTGCAGAATCTTTATGAATTTTTCAAAGCAGAGCTAGATAGACTCTTGATTTCCAAGGGGACAAATGATTCATTGGGGTATGCAGGAATGTAGAATTAACATTAAAATCAGATCAGCCATGATTCTATTGAATGGAGGAGCACGCTCGAAGGGCTGAGTACTCTTGTTCCTTATTTGTATGTTCATAGTTGGAACAAGGGGCTCTTCGAGGTTGCACAAATATAGTGGAGTGGGGACTTGTAAATAGAATGTGGGTTTTGAATTCAGCATACTAAAGGTTGGAAGACCCAACTGAAGATTCGAGTAATAGGTCAGGGGGGAAAAATATGGGTGCCAAAGTTTTAGACAGAAAGGCTGTAACCCATGAAGGGACTCAGCAGGATGAAAATGGAGACAAGGAAAGCATAGCTAACAACTTTAGCAGCAATCTATGTGAGGAAAGGGTGTAGGTGCATGATGCTGTAGATATGGAGGCAAGTAAATGTGATGGATTGTATCCAGCTTTTGACACCCAGTCCAGGATTAAATGGGGAACAGATGTTCAGGGAGGTAATGGAGAGTTGAAGGTAAGAGTAGATCTTTGGAAGGAGTAAAAGAAAATGATTTAGATCTTGTAAACATATAAAGAAAGGGTCATCCAAGACTGGATGTTAAAGAAATAGTTTGCAAAACTGAATGGTTCTGGAAGTGACTTTTTCTCCTAACCCTACACTTTAACCTCCTTAATATCTTCCTTTCGCTGATGTGCAGCACCCTGATGATACCTGGGTCTATTTCTATCTACCAAAGTAGATGGTTAGATCTCTCCATTATCAGAGATAGATGATCTGATGTGTTGCAGAGTAGAATGATTGGGTATGAGGCATTAGTTTCATGGTGGAGGCTGGGATCTTTCTATACAAAGGATGGTACCAGCAGCTTACAAGGGGAAGGCTTAGTACCATGGACTATGCTATAAGAATCAACCAAGAAAATGTAGTTAAGTGATCAGGACAGTGAACAATAGATATTTACAAAGGAGATAAGCCTTGTAAGCACAGTACCATTGAAGGAGTTACATACCGATATGGAGTCAAGACAAATAGCTGGAAATTGAAATATTTGAATCAGGAACAGGAGGCCATTGGCAATTGGTCCGCCACGCCTAAAATCATGTTTAATCAGCCTGTGTTCCAAATTCCATAGTCCTATCTATGCCCAAGTGTTGTCATTGGAAGCATGGAAGCTTGGGATCATGGTTAGCCCCTAGTCCCAACTAAATATTGCATGAAATGTTCAATCCAAAAATCCGTCAATCAAGCATGAGGTACATTCGGGTTTCCAGTCCTCAAATTCAGGAACATGGAGGCAAGAAGTGCATCAGGGCAGGGCATGAGGACGGCAGTCAGTGAGTAATTTCATGGGGATCAAAAATTCAAAGGCAGAGTCATTGGTCATGCTGATCTGGTCCCAAAGGCAGAGTCATTGGTCGTGCTGATCTGGT